CAGTTGTGCTGAAATGGCTGCAGCTTTGCAGCTATCATTACGATACGTTTTGTCAACAACTTTGAGTTGTTCAACATCATCAAGCACTTCCGAATCCGCCGAGCCTTGCTAAGATGAGCGTGAACGTGGACAAGATCCTGAGCAGCCCCGAGGCCACGTACACGGCCACCTACAACCAGCGCGATCTGCTTCTGTACGCCGTGGGCATCGGCGAGTCGTCGCTGCAGTTCACGTACGAATTTGATGACAAGTTCGCCGCCTTCCCGCTCTACCCTGTGTGCCTTCCCTTCAAGGGCCAGTCGCAGGATGTGGTGCCCTTCCCACCCGAGACCATTTCGGCTGCACCTGACGGTATGCCCAGCTTTAACCCGGCCATGATCTTGCACGGTGAGCAGTCAGTGGAGATTCTGCGGCCTCTGGATCCCTCGGGCGGCAAGCTCACGGGCAAGACCAAGGTCATCTCCTTCTATGACAAGGGCAAGGGAACACTTATGGAGACGCAGACCCAATTCGAGGATGCTAACGGGCCCGTGGCCAAGCTCATCAGCGGCTCTTTCATCCGCGGACTCACGGGCTACGAGGGTAAGGGCCGCAAGCTCCCAGCTCGCGTGCAGATCCCTAAGCGCCAGCCGGACTTCTACGACGAGTTCAAGACCTCACCGCACCAGGCGCAGGTCTACCGCTTGTCGGGTGACTACAACTCGCTGCATATTGACCCGGAGATCGCCAAGAGTGTGGGCTTCAAGCAGCCCATCCTGCACGGCCTCTGTTCCATGGGTGTGGCCAGCCGCGCACTATACAAGCAGTTCTGCGGTGGCGACGTGGCGCGCTTCAAGTCCATTCGCGTCCGTTTTTCGAGCCCATGCTTCCCGGGCGAAACCATCCAGACCCGCATGTGGCAGGAAAGGAACGACAAGGTGCTCTTCCAGGCTGTGGTGAAGGAGCGCGGCGTCGTGATCGTCGATGGTGGCGAGTTCGTGTACGCTACGGACGCGTCTTCCCGTCTGTAAGCCGAATTGCTATCGTACTTCTTATGCCGGATAAGCTCCACGGTAATGTGCGGCGCATTGTGCGTCAACCAACTTGAAGTTGACGTCGACGTCAACTTCGTAAGCGTTATGAAATATATTCACTTTTGCAGTGCTTAATTCAAATACAAATTGTGTTTAAATTCCGGTGTTGGAGGAATCATATTTTGAAGGTTTTAATTAGCACAACAGTGTCAAACTCGCCAACGCTGGGAAATGAGCTCCTCGCCCGCGCCTCCTGCACCGCTGTCGCCTTGGACCAAGTCGGTGGTCGCAGGCTCTGTGTCGGGCATGGCAAGCGTGGTGGCATGTCACCCCTTTGACACCATTCGCACGCGACTGCAGCTGTCGCCCTCCCGCTTCCGCGGCTTCTTCCACTGCGCCCAACAGACTATACAGCAGGAGACCATGCGAGGCCTGTATAAGGGCTTCCTGCCCCCGTTCTTCAGCCAGGGTGTGTACAAGGCCATCATCTTCACTACATCGTCCACGCTGCGCAACGACGTGCTACCTCACATATCGCTACTGCAGCCGGTTCTCACCCCAACGGTTGTGTCATTGACAGCCGGAGCTATCGCTGGTGGTGTCAACGCGTTCCTGGTCGCACCCGTGGAGCTCGTACGCAACCGACTACAGGTGCAATACGACAGCCAGCCAGAGACGCGAAAGTACCGAGGAGCTTACCACTGCGTCACACAAGTGGTGCGCACTGAGGGCATCACGGCCATGTGGAAGGGCTTGACCACCACCGTCATCCGAGACTCACTGGGTGTAGCCTTCTACTTCTTAGGATACGACTTCGCAAAGAAACGCCTCGCTGAAAGCGGGAAGCTTGGAGAGATGGCTACACTGTTGACTGCTGGGGCTTTTGGGGGGGTCAGCTTCTGGGCAGTAGCGCTGCCGTTCGACACTATCAAGTCGCTGATCCAAGCGGACGGGAAAACAGGCAAGTACACAGGACTGGCATCGAGTACAGCAAGGCTGGTACGCGAAGAAGGCGTGATGCAGCTCTTCCGCGGATGGCAGGCAGCCTTCTCGCGTGGAATTCCGAGTGCTGCTATCACTTTTTGGACTTTTGAACGAGCAACTAAACTGCTGGATGAGATGTGAATAATTGATCAAGGCTCTACTTGCTGTAAATTAACAAGTAAGGAGCTTTATTCACCATTTTGAACTGCAGCGTATGGATGCTGTGCAATTTCTACATGTACATGTAGTAGTACTTGGAAGTACATTAGTGATAATTGAGTCGAGGTGAGCTCGTTAGTTCTGCCTTGATAAATCCACCCGTGCGCGTCGCAATTGTGTCGCGATCGAGGCAGCTCGTTCCCCCAAACCAATTGCTTTGTCCTTGAACATGTCGTGAATGGAATCGGGGTCGGTCGGGTAGCATATCGGTGGGAAATCTCGCAGCTCCGGACTGGTTTGATCTGCAGGCGCAAACGGTCCTTCGCCCACGATAGCAGACGCGCCAAACGCACTCGTCCAGCGCTCTCCCCCAACGATTATCATCCGGAAGATCATGAGCGAGTGCAGCAAGTTCACCATAGTCAGCTCTTCTCCTGCCGATATCCCTCCACTCGTGACGAAGACAGCACCAATCTTCTGGCTCAGGTCCTCGGTAAACGACCATTCACTCAAAAACTTTGCCATCTACAGTAAGAAAAAAATACCGAATACACTAGTCAGCTAAATAACACTACCTTTTTAAGTTCTAGGCAGCGAACCTTTGGCTCAACGTTGGCGTTCACCACATGCGTTCCAAGTATCACAGCGTCCGCCCACATCACGTCGTCTGCGAACGATGCATTGTCCAGTGTACGTACACGCAGCGACTTTGTGCCGTTCCCCAATACGTTGCGTGCACCAGCTTCCACCACTGCTGCGAGTTTCGAGAGATGCGGTCCGTCGGAGTACGCAATCAACACGTTAGCCGCTCCTTGGCTGCGCTGCCACCCGCCTCCGACCACACCACGGGACTGAGTGTGTGGTTGATGCATCAAAGTCGGCCTTTGCATCTGCTGTTCTTCCAGTCTAGCCAACACTTGTTGCGAGAGGCCGATAACGTGCACGAGGCCGATCGCTGTACCCAAGCAGAAAATTAGCAGCAAAACGCCCGCCGCGCGTCGTAGGCGCCGTGCATCGGCATTCTGCGGTGGCTCGCCAACACCCAGACGCTGTAGCTCCGTATAACCAGGCGCCGGTGGAACGGGGACGCGCGGCGGACGCAGTGGACGCATCTCGCTGCGGTGCGCGATACCATGCGTGCTCATTACTGTACGTGGTGGTCTCCGATGCAAATTTCAATGTGACAGTCGCAAGGGAGATGCTCCTCCACACATTTTCTGTACATCAAGTGGTGCAAAGATTAAGCGATGGCTACACTAGGTCAAGTTGAAGTGAAACTTGGATTTTTATCCTGTAGCATACTTGACCTCGTGGAAGCCGCAGTTAGCGATAGTACCGGGACCTCCCTTACCGTCGCTGCCTCCATAGTTGGCGTGGCACGTGCAGATGCCAGTGGAGAAGTCGCAGATGCCGTGGTTGGAGCAGAAGGCGTTCTCCCGTGTACCTTTGACAGACGTTTCGCCTAGCAGTGTATCTCCACCCGTGACGAACACAAGATTTCCTGATCCATCTCTTGCATTTCCGTTGATTCGGTCCTGAAGCAATGCGTTGGATCCTGATAATGACGGTAGCTCTCCCAGTTCAGTCAAGAAGTCCACCTTGATGACGACGTTTATGCTGTTGGAACAAGCCACAGCTCCACCTGAGAAGATAACATCCACTGCTCCTATCGTGGACAGCTCTTCCAATGCAGATTTTATATCTGCTTCAACTGCGTTGTAGGGAATATTCGTTGTCGTTTCGTCTCGAAACGTGAGGGTGAAGCTACCGGCGTCTGCAATGCACTGAATCAATTGCCGCTCGATATCATCATTGTCGGTGTTAAAGTCGTCACCGCGCGGGCATTCCTCTGAACGATTGATACAAGCATGTTAGTATACCATAATGTACTGACATTCGAAACCATCGCACTTACTTAGTGAACAATCGTAGCCAAAGTAGAACGGGTCACAGAGGCAGGTACGAATACGACGGGCATCCCATGTGGACACATCGTTCGGATCTTCTCCATACGTAAAATCTCGAGTCACTCCATTCACACGAATCATTGGAGCCAAGTCGTAAAGAGTCAAACATTGACCATTGCCATTGCATTCAACTTCACTACCTCCACAAGCCACTGCAAAGCAAACCAAACAGATGGTTAATCAACATTAACAGGACAACAAATCCAATCAAATTAATAAAGTCAGCAAGGATGTGAGCGTACTAAGATCGCAGGCACTGCCGGTGTACGGTGGCTGACACTTGCACTTAGCATTGCTTCGATCGCAGTCTCCGACGCCACTGCACTCGGTGCGTATTTGGTGTGCAACGTTGTCTTCGCTCGGGTAGTCGAACCAGGAATATCCAAACGGGCAGACTCTCTCAGAGCAGTCTCCGCCACGCCAACCTTTTGAACATGAACAGCGATAAGACAGCCTATCAGAACATGTGCCGTGTCCACTACACGCGAGATCTCCTGGACATCCAACCGGAATTCGTGATGGCGCACCACAGTCACCTCGATTGAACTCTAAGGTACTGATACTGCCGTTACCATCACTGTTGGTGTAGCCTGTATGGCAAATACAGCGGCCAAGATTGGTGTCATCGCAATACCCACGATTTGAGCACACCTCACTTTCTTTGGTTCCATCCACAGACACGACATTCGATATCACATTCCCTCCACCAGCAGCAACAACGCTAGATCCGGCACTCATCTCATTGCCTTGAACCACGATAGTTGGGAGACTAACCAAACCACAGCACACAAGAATATAAGTTAATACAGGAATCTTCATTCGATACAAGCAACTCACTTTCCAAAGTTTTGGGTAAATGTGAGTCTCGCGAGGTTTGCTGGTGTTTCGCACGTTTGCGAGCCTGAAAAGCTCACATCAATACCCTGAATTGAGGGTAGTTCCAACAGAAGTGTCTTTAGCTGCTGTGTTGTAGATTGGGCTGGAATTGGGCGAGTTGTAGCTCCTCTGAACGTCACTGTGAACGAGCCACCACCTAACTCCACGAGCGTCTGCATTTGAGATGTTGCATCTGTACTAAATGTCTGATCGAGAGGTTCACACGATGATCCCTTTACGGTCTCAGTGAAACTCGATGCGAACTGTAGACGATTCGCGATGTGTACAAGTCCGTCCATGCCGCCATTATTCGTATGATCAGCTAGAATATCAGCGAGATCTCCGTTTCCACTGGTGGCTTTAACCACAACGAAGCGGATGATAGTCGTAGTACCAAAATCGCTGCAGAATGTCGATTGTCCGTCTGCAAAAATGACGTCAATATCAACAACGTAGGAGACTTTGCTTTGGATCGTGGCCTTAAGTGTATCGGCGGTGATACTGTACGGTAGTCCAGTAATCTTTGTGCCGTCCTCGAACGTAAGCGCAAAGTTTCCACCCGTAGCTCCGCACAAGAATTGCTGCTCTTCCGCAACTCGACAGGAGTCAAAACCCTTGATAACCTCTTTTGTTTCTTCGTCAATAAACCCATTAATGTTGCCAAGAAACAAAGTTTGAACACCTTTCAAGTCCAAAGTAGAGAACGTCATCGGTGGCAAATCGTCCACTAACGCCCGATGCCAAAGTGCAGAGAAGGTTATCGTCACGAACGTGCCTCCAGTTGTACACACATTGTTCGTAGCTGCTCCAGTATGTGTCATAAGAGAGACGTTAATCTGACCATAGAAAGAGAATTTCGATAGAAACGCCACAAACGTGTTGCTGTCGGCGTTGTAAGGGATACTGCGAATAGTCTCGTTGCCAAAAGTGATCGCAAATACACCAGAGTCAGCCGCACAGATAAACTGCTGGACTTCAACACTTCTCCACCCTGGAACAACGGCATTATGTTTCGTATTGGATGTCGGGAAAGTTATACTCCACTCCGTTCGGGTTGGTAGTGGATCTGTACGAATGACTGCAACTGCGTCCACTCCTTGCAACGCTAACAGAGATGTAGCAACTGATGGCCCAAATGAATCCTGATCAGCCAGCGCTTTGAACGAGATGGGACGGGTATATTGCTTGCCGAATTTCAAAATGAACTTGCCTTTTGTGAGCGGAACGTCCGCTTGCAACACGATCGCTTGTTTCTGGTACGTTGTTAAACACTGTATCAACTGCACTTCGTTCACTTGACCGGCAGTGAGAGGGTCATCTCCGACTGGACAATTTTTAAGGGAGCAACTATGACCATGAAATCCAGCGTCGCATTGACATCCGTGCATCACGTCAAAGTCCCACATCTGGTCGTACACAAAGGCACTTCGGTCGTACAGTTCTCGTGGGATCACCTCATTCTCCGCCAACATTTTCATAGAGATACATTTGCCGTGATTGGAACAGGAATCCAAGCATTGAGTGTACTGGCAGGCAGGGCCGGTAAATCCCGACTGGCAACTGCATGAACCACTCGAGTAAGCACAAATTCCACGTCCTGAACATTCCTCGGGTCCATGAGCATCGTTGGTTCCCCGGATAACGCCCCAAGCCTTGCCAACGGGGCAGTATTTGAGTGAGCAGTCGTATCCGAAGAATCCGTCGTAGCAATGGCAGGTTAGCTGTTTATCGCAAACCCCATTGCCCGAGCAGCCATTCGGGCATGATTCATCCGCTGCGCTAACGAGTGGAGATCCAATTGAAGCTAACAGCACAGCGATCAAGAGTAAAGATGCCCTGCATCGGGTCATAATGTGTGAATACCAGTGGAAAGTCAAAGTGGAGCGGTTTCTTGCGTCGCTTCATTTTGATATTGTATATTGCACAAATGAAGCGAGGAACTCCTGACGAGCGGCGATGGGAACATGGATTGCGCCAAAGTACTCGAACGTCCAACGGTCCTTCGTTAATGTCGTATCCGACGATGAACCGCAACTCCAAGGTGACAACTGAAACCAAGAGAAGCAGCGGAAATGCTGGTACTCCAACACCATTGGCAGCGACTACCGCGCTGCAAACGTATTTGGCCAACGATATCGATGCAAAAAGCAGGATACCGTGTCCTGTATCTGAACTAGTTGGGAAGACGGTGTCGAGATCGGATGCATCACCGGATCAAAGACGGCTGAGCAACGCAAGTACTTGTAATAGCCGACGGAACGACATTACATATCAGGAGAATGCAAAGCCGATTCAACTTAATGTACGCGTTGGTGTTAATACGGAGAATACTGCTACAGCCGATGGAGTTGCTGTCTCACGAGCTGAAAGTCCATTGTCGCGCTTCCAGAAGCATGTACGATGTGTTATCTTCTTCAACCACTGAATCTATCGACTAATTTCGAGTGATATGCCGTTCATGCAGACAAGGCAAACACATTCTGTTCCAGACGAGCGGCATACGTTCTCAATGTCCACCACATTCCCGCGAAAAGGTTATTATCACGACTTGCAAAAGACACCTCGACTTCTAGCAACACAATCGCCACAGAGTTTGACTCGATCTCTTATGGATAAGATTAACGAAGCGAAAGGCTTGTGGCGAGTGAGTAAAGTCCGTTCGAAAGATTGTTCCGAGCCAGAAACTTTGAGTCGCGGTTTGCAGAGCTCAATTGAACACAATCGAAAGGCGACGTTGCCATGGCCATCCAGTCCTATTCAAGAACGTCCAGAAGATACAGCTCAGCCTGCAGCAGCCCTGAACAATGCCCCACCAGTTCCACATGCGAAGCCAGTAAAGCCCGTGATACCGCCGTTGCCATCTTCTGCGTCGCCAAAGAACGTAAAGTCACCAAGAGAATCAAAAGAGACTGCAACAAGAATCAACGATGTGATCGCGGCTACGAATGCCGTTCTATCTATTCAGCACATGTGGCGAAGAAAGCGACTGAACCATCAAAAACACGAAGAGACCGATCATGGGCCTGACAGGAAAATAAGTGACCACACTGAAGTGAAGCTGATCATCGACAAAAACTGTGCTGATATCATCCCGTTATTTCGTGCGGCCAAACCGAGTAGCAAGTGCAGTGTGACCAAGCTGCAGTCGAACGAAGTATCAGCACTACATAGTGAGAACGAGATTGACTTGGGAGAAGATTCAGTGGTGAATAGTAACGTGATGTCTGCTGTGCCAAACCACCCCTCGTATTATCCGTGGACGGATCATGAATTGGTTTTTCTTGAAGAAGGTCGATGTATCGGAGAACTTCAAGACGCCGTTCGCAGAGGAAATTCAGTGGATCAAGACGAGCTCGTGTGGAAGCGTCCTCAGCAGGTTATTCAAAAACTAGAAACTCGGCGAGTCTCAATGATTCAGAAAACCCGAAGAAAGCGAGAGCCCAAGAGCAAAAGTCGAAACCCGTTGATACCAAGTAATGGAGCGACAGCATCCGTGCTGTCTATTGTGCATACAGTAGCAGCTCCCGCTAGTTCAATGACTAGAGGAAAAAAGATGCATCAACGGAAGCACAAACTTCCTCGGGGCTACCGTTTCAAGCTCAGGAATACCCGACGAAAATCAATGCTTCGTGTAAAGAAAGATTCGGCCAAATCCCAGAAGCTGTTCATCCGAGAGCAATGCACTGCAGACAAATACGAGGACTATGACCATGGTGAACCCAGATTTAAAGCAAGCAAAGGAGAAGCAGAACCAAGAGCAACGCCTGATCCGCCGCATATGGACGGCATTGTTCAATGCAGCGAGAACAACGAGAAACAAGCTGACAGCAGGCTAAATGATCTCGCTGAAATTGAAGCGAAACATTTAAACTCGGATCAACCGCTGGCCTTGGATACTGATCGTTTCGTGGTGTTCTCAGGCTCTGAGCTGCCACGAAGTGGCGTGGGTCCTGAGCTTTCGCGAAATGACTTGATTAGTGTAGGTGACCTCGCTCTAGCTAGAAGCCTGCTGTACAACGAATGCCGTTGCCAATTTACGAGCGACAAGGTCGAGCATGTCAACGATGTTATACCACTGACATTGACAACGCCTTCGATCTACGCAAGCGTGCTTCCTGGGCTAGTATCGATGATGGACTCGGTAATAGTCGCTGAGACGTACTCTACTGAAAGGAACGGCGATGAACACGCTCATGGCAGCGTCACCGAACACGCAGAGCTGGAGGACACTCAGGGATACAGCAGCCAAGAGCCTAAATATGTGGGTCACCCATGGGTCTGGGAAGAACTGCTGGTGCGGATGGAAGACAGTCGTACTCGCAGCGATGATAGCGCTTCGGACATCACCGCTCCTTCCAGGGGAAATAGTAATCCTAACGAGTCGTGCGCAATCGACAAAGCAGAGGATTCAATGCCCCAACGCTGTCCACCGGATTCGATGTGCGCTCTGAAAGCTACCAAGAGCTCCGTCGCCGAGATGATAACTCGGGTCCGCAAGGAGTACGGCGACAACCAGCAGGCCGAGGCAGCACCGTCTTCGCAGCATCCCATTCCGGTGGCGCAGCCCTCCCGGCTTCAATTAGACGAAGAGAAGCGGATTGAGTTCCTGCGCGTGTTAACCGACTTCAAGCGCTGCCTGCGATCATCGCCGTCGTGCTCTAGCAGCTTGCTGCTCTCGGACAAGTATGGAAAACTGACGTAACTGAGACCACCAACGGAGACCACGGGGTCGTTGACGTTACCAAAAGTCAAGTCTGACTCAGACCTGTAGACGAAAAGGATTGGCGCATCACCCGATACGTGGCCTATGCAACGTCCCAGTCGTGTTGCCTCCGGCCACTTGCAGCAAGTTGCTCTGAAATAGAGAAGCTATGAGGAGCTACGTACATCATGTCCAACAGTTCCCTTTTGAATCTCGCGCGGGAAATACAATGCTGACGTCCTAGCACGACGTCAGCAACGACCCGTAGCCAGCGGATTACATCTACGCCTGATCTTGTCGCATTTACTCGTACAGTATATATTGTCATTATACAACAGTTTTCTTCAGTGAAAATATATAGAACATCGGTTTTTGATTTCAATTGACTTCCATCCGTCACATTTTAGTTTATACAATATAAAAGGTTATTAGTTATTGACAGAAATTACTACAATCATCAGTTCTCTATTTTCGTCACGCTTTCCAGAAATTCCGAAAACAAATTCATACAAACTTCAAGTGCAACTCAACTTTAGCCATTCCTCGCTGCCATTCCTCAACCTGCCGCGTCAAGTGCAAGCGCCAAGACCAGAGCTCCTCTTTCTCCGCCATGGCTTCCCACACTGGCCCGCAGGTGACCACGTCCACCGAGTGCCCGACGCCCGACTCGTGCTTCGTCAAGCAGCCGCACGTGCACCGTCCTCGCCAGCCTGAGCCCAAGATTCTCAACTCGATTCTCGACCACGTGGGCAACACTCCGCTTGTGCGTCTCAACACGATTGCCAAGAAGGCGGGACTGGAGTGCGAACTGCTGGCCAAGTGCGAGTTCTTCAACGCCGGCGGTTCCGTCAAGGACCGTATCGGCAAGCGCATGATCGAGGACGCCATGGCCTCGGGTCGTATCAAGCCCGGCGACACGCTCATCGAGCCCACATCGGGCAACACAGGAATCGGTCTGGCGCTCGCTGCCGCACTATACGGCTTCCGTATCATCATCACGTTGCCCGAGAAGATGTCGCTGGAGAAGGTGGATGTCCTGAAGGCTCTGGGCGCTGAGATCATCCGTACACCCACTGAGGCTGCCTGGGACTCGCCCGAGTCGCACATTGGCGTGGCCAAGCGTCTCGTTAAGGAGATCCCCAACGCCCACATCCTCGACCAGTACAGTAACCCCTCCAACCCTCTCGCTCACTACGACGGTACGGCTGAAGAGATCCTCGAGGCCTGTGGCGGACACGTCGACATGGTCGTCATGGGCGCCGGTACGGGCGGGACTTTGTCCGGTACTGCCCGCAAGATCAAGGAGAAGTGCCCCAGCTGCATCATCGTGGGCGCTGATCCCATTGGCTCCATCCTGGCTGAACCTGAGAACCTGAACGACGAGAACCGACTCAAACCCTACCAGGTCGAGGGTATCGGTTACGACTTCATCCCGCAGGTACTGGACCGTTCACTCGTGGACCGCTGGATCAAGACGGGCGACCAGGAGTCATTCCTATTGGCACGTCGTCTTATCCGTGAGGAGGGACTGCTGTGTGGTGGCTCGTGTGGTTCCGCCGTGGCTGCGGCGCTCAAGGCTGCCAAGAACCTCAAGGCTGGTCAGCGTTGCGTCGTGGTGCTGCCAGACTCGACTCGTAATTACATGTCCAAGTTTCTGTCGGACGACTGGATGTACGAACATGGCTACGTGACGGACATGTCCAAGAGCGCACTGAGCTCTACGTGGTGGGCCAAGAAGAACGTGTCGGAGCTGCTGCTGCAGGCACCTGTGACGATCACTCCCGATCTCTCGTGCAAGGAAGCCGTGGACATTCTGAAGAAGGAGGGATTTGACAATCTTCCGGTTGTGGCGGACGATAACTCGATCGTGGGGGTCGTGACTGAAGGAAACCTCATCGCGCAGCTCATGCCCGGCCGTGTGCACCCCACGGACGCTGTCGAGAAGGCCATGTTCAAGCAATTCAAGCAGGTGAACCCGCAGACGTCACTGTACGAGCTGAGCCGCATCTTCGACCGCGACCACTTCGCACTGGTCGTGACGGAGCAGAAGCGTATCCGCAAGGGCGGCGAGGCCGAGACCAAGTCCGTCATCTTTGGCGTCGTCACGCGCATCGATCTGCTCACGTACATTACGCGCCACAACGACCAGTAAGATGGCTACATCCAATACCAATACGACTTGAATGTAACACCATTTTAGATCGGATCCTTGTAGCGTCTCTTCCTAGTTAGTGTACCTATGGTAAAGCTGCCATCTCTCGATAAAGGTGTGTTGCCTCTGCAAAAGCTTCGAGACGAATACGTTCGCGCTCTGACGCATCTGCTGGATCATTTGGGCACCGATCGAGTGTCTTTGGTGCTCTCTAAGCGTCTGGCAGCGCTGTTGACGCACGTGTTTGTTGACGGTCTGGGCGTGTTGAAGAGCCATCATGTAGTCGAGTGTCTGGAGCTCGCAGAAGATAACGTCACGACAGACACGACGGTGGTGTATCTGGCGTTTGCACGCACTGGTGACGTCCGTGCGGTGGCTGCTCACGCTGAGAAGCTGCTGAAGGAGGGAGACGATGAAAGACGGAAGCGTCGACTGGCACTGTACGTGGTGGGCAAGTGGACGACGATGCTGGGCCAGGCACTGGACAATGGCAGAGTTCGGGGCAGGTTCCAGACGGGAGAATTGGCCATGGGTTTCTTCCCGTTAGACACGGACTTGCTTACTCTGGGCTTCCAACGCACTTTGTATGAGTGCGAGGTGGAAGGGAACAGAAGTTCGTTGGTGGACATGGCAGCAGCGTTGAATTTACTGCAGCAAGTGTATGGGAAATTCAACCGTATCAAGTACAAAGGAGAAATGTCGATGCTAGTGCTTAATTATTTGATGGAGATGAATGCAGGTGGCTCGGGAATGATGAGTAGTTCGAGTGGTATCAGTATTGGAACACCCACTGGAGCTCAGCGATCGCGACTGGATACGTTGATTCTGCTGGATAGAAGTGTCGACTTTGCGTCCGTATTCTCTACACCGTTAACGTACGAGGCGGTGCTGGATGAACTCATGGACATCCAAGACGGGTTTATCACAGCTTCACCGCAGATTCTAACAGCTGATGACAGCGCTAGTGACGATCCTGTGCCGGTGGCTATGAACTCGACAGACGAAATCTTCCAGCAGATTCGAGACAAACACATTCACACCATTCCAGCGGCATTAAATGCTCAAGCAGTGGCAGTCAAGCAGAGATTTACAGAATTCCAGCGTGTAAGTGCCACAGCGACGGCTGCAGAAGTCAACGAGTTTGTGAAGACAGTGCCTCAAATGAAGGCGTCACAGCAATCCATTGAGCAACATATCAATCTGTTGGAGTATCTGGAGACTACGACGTCAGGTAAACCCTTTCGAGATGTTTGGCATCTGGAGAGGAAGATCATGGACCAAGCAGATGGCGTGTTGGATACGATAGAAGAGCTCATTTATCGACATGAAGATCTTCGGAAGGTGCTTCGTCTACTGTGTTTATACTGTGTTGTCAACGACGGCATGGTACGACGTGATCTCGATCAATTAAAGATGCATGTCGTGAGAGCTTACGGACATGAACTCATCTTCTCATTCAGCAATCTGGAGCGACTTGGGGTGCTCTGCGAACGGTGTCCACGTTCATTCTTTTTTAACTCCGATGATACTGGCTGTTCGTTTCGCTATGTGGCGCAGACTTTGTCCGTGGTCGACGTGGATGTCAATATCAAGAATCCAAAGAATTTAGCTTTCGTCACATCAGGCTACGCACCGATATCTGCTCGTCTAGTTGAAGAGGTTCTCAAACATGGTCACTGGAGGGGCATCGATCATGTCATGAGTCGTCTACCCGGACCACGAGCAGAAGTTCACCTTACGGGGGATAAAGCGAGCGATGAGAAGATGAAGTCGAAGAAGAAGACTGTGGTTGTAGTGGTTTTTGTCGGAGGCGTGACATTCCTCGAGATTGCAGCGTTGAGATGGATAGCGTCCTTCTGTAAGTATGTTCGGTGTTCGGTTGCATATTGGAGTAGTAAAGCTAACTTGTGTTGTGTTGGTAGATCCCATCGAGCTTATCATCGCTTCGACGAGTATACTCAACGGTAAGTCGTTTATTAGCGAGTTGCTAGAACATGTACCACCTACTACAGCGTAATGAGGGGTTAAGTGCCTGAAGAATGAGTACCAGAACAAGAAGCAAGCTGCTGCGCTGGACCTGTTCTACAAGGGTGTTCCTCACACACCGGTCGACGTTTACTCTGCCATGAAGTGATTGTCTGAAGGCTGGAACAACGTATCTGCAAAGACTATTAAAAATTGTTGGTGCCACACAGGCATCGTCTCAAATCAAAATTTTCTACTGAATTAACAAAATAAATATCAGTGCACTGGATTTGCGTTTGTTTTATGCTTTATTTATGCCCTGGCACTGTTGATATGGTCTGCCCTGCCGAATTGGAGGTGCACAACTGTACACCAAACAGATACGTATTCACCAACTGCAACTTTGGTAAAATGTACGTAATTACGAAGATATCCCATGATTTGCATCGCGTTCCAAATTAAAGAGCGTTCGCCATTCTACAATCCGCATCGACAATCGCAAGTGAAGATGAAAAGAACTGTCACGTACAAGGACGACGATTTTGTTCCAGATTCTGGTGGAGAGAGTGTTCCCAAGAAGAGAAAGAAGAAGCGACGAGAGAAGACAGACCTTCTTCACCCAAGCGTCTGGTTCAAGCAGGAGATAGCAAGAGTGCTGTGGATGCCTCGGAAGACAGACCTAGTCTCCGTTCGTAAACCCTGGCGCTCACGCAAGAAGAGACGCGTGCGCTTATGTCAACGGAAGAAGCGGAAGCGAACCAAGAAACACGGAAGAAGACACGAGAGACGAACGCCGGCTTTCGCTCGAGATCGCGTTCCTGAATCTCAACAACTGCTGGAGCCGCTGCTCACATCCTGGTTCGACGTCGACAATCTGGCTCAAGCGACCCCGCAGTCCGGGTGGAGAACGACCTCCGTACCAGTAGCACATCGCTATCACGAGATTGCTGAGGATTTACAAGAACTGGATATCGAATACGAGGAGTTTTTCAACAGTGTGATCAAGATTCGACTTTTTCCTACCAAAGGACATAAGGAGAAGCCAGACCAAATGTTCGCGGCCCAAAGAGTCATTTACAACAAAATGGTGGCTTGGTCCCGGGAGGATCGCACGAAAAGACTGACATCTCGCGACAAGGCTGTGAAGATGACGATGAAAGCTTTCGGATTGAAGTACCGACCTATCGCAAAACTGGGAACGATGGCGGAGTACTTCCGGAACAAGAGAGGATTGGGACGGTCTATGCAAGTTCAAAATGAAGTTCGCGAGTCGGCGTACCGGGATTTCATGAAAGCGACCAAGTCGTCGATTGCTGTTTTTTTTGCTGCCTTGAAGCGTGATGAAAAGACGACCTATCCCGAGATGAAGTTCATGTGGTGTAGTGATTTCCAAGTAATCGCTGAAGTGGCTACATTCAAGTTGCTCAAGCCACGAATGCTTGGTCATGCGACAGGTGGTGACCACGATGCAAGATGACCAAGGATACATCATTACCGAACGTTCGTCGGGTCCGACTATGACCAAAATGTCACTCAAGTCGGGTGGTTCGTATCGGTGAAGCTGGATTC